GAGAATTCATCCTCATATGAAATAACAAAACTGAACATGCATTTCGTCTGCTAACATTTAACATTTAATTTTTATATTCAGATCTTAAAGATCTTTAAAGGATCAAGTGTGGAGATCAGTGTTGGAAATTCTGCATGGTTGAGTGTCTGCTTTGCAGTGATGCGTTTTCTCCACCTATGCTCATATTTTAATTCCTTCTACTTTCAGTTCTATGAGTGTGTATGTGTGTGATTAACTGACCTGCAGAGCCACTTTACTTTCCAAAGCCATGGAGGACGCTGAGACGCTTCAGCATTGGGGTAAGATTTTTTTTTCCATTTTACATATTTATTACAACTATAAAAGTCAAGGTTCACATGCAGACCTTTATTATATATTCAAGAAAGTTCCAATGTTCATTAAGTCCATTAAGTCATCAAATAATCAAAGTTAAGTGCAGGTCTGTTTGAGGCTGAAAATTACACAAAATTAAATAAATTAACTAAAATATACTGGGTTCCTCAACCGATCATTTAGTTGAAGCTGAATGGTAAGGGGTTTGGATTAAGGTTTTAACAAAGTTAAACTCAAAACCTAAACTGGCTTTTCTCGTTTGGAACAGACCATCAAAATTAAAGGCTGATGTTTACATGGATTCAAATGTTTAATCCATTTTAAGTTTGTTTTTCATTGGGTTTTATATTATTTCATATTTGGTTTCACCATTATTTGTATAATTTAACTAGTTGATATGATTTAATCATTTTAAACAATACAGTGTTGGTGATAAACCTCAGTGTAAAGTGTATTAGTCCAGCTATGCAGTTGCCAGGTCTATGGATTGGCGGCATAGTCAAGGGGCAGTGATGGCCAGTGCCATCCTCATCTGAAGCATTGCCACCCTTCTGGCCACCCCAGTTATTCAAAATGAGACAATCAGTCAATGAAACAGTCACTGGAAAAAGCTAAGATACCCACCCAGTGTGAACTGGTTAAGCTTTACGGTGAAAGTTTGCAATCAGAACAGTTATTAATCAGAGTCTTATGATGCTGCACACAATAATCAGCATAGCTTGCTGTGGATGAAACACATCTGATCATAACGTTACATCATACTTTGTTGTTTGGCTTTGGCTAACTTTGTCACAAGACTCATTACCTCTGGTGAGAGTGGCCTAAACTTTTGAATGTTGTTCTCTGAAACTAATGCAGTTAATTTAAAGTGTACATGAGTACACAAGTGAGTACATCCCATAGTATAGCATTTATTTATTACATTTAGTTTTTCAGTTTACTTTCAGCAATAATTATATTGTTGTAATATGCACAGAGTAAATTATTATTTTTTAACAATGTAGGCCTAATAGAGTCATAGTCTGAAATATTGGCACCCTTGCATTCTACATAAAAATATACTGGACAATATTGTTGACATTGTTTAGAAATTGTAAGAGAAATTAGGATTTCAACAGGTAAGGCTCCTTTAAAATGTTATTAAACACATATATGAACAGTTACAGGTGTAGACAATATAGAAGTCATATAACCAGTTTAAATATAGAAAAACTGAGATGATGTTTGTGTTGTGTGTCTGTATGTGTTCACCAAACAAAAAGAAACAAAAGAAGAGGAAAGGATTGTCTGAGGATGCAAGAATCGAAATTGTAGAAAAGCATGGGCAATACCAAGGCTAAAATTCCCTCTCCAGAGACCCTAATGTTCCACTGTGAAATTCAAACACTACCAAAGAATTTTGGAGAGTCCAGCACGCAGTGTCAGTAGGCTGGATCTCCATCAGAGGTCCTGGGTCTTTCAGCAGGATAATGATCCAAAGCATACATCAAAAAGCACTCAGAAATAGTCTTAGATAAAGCGCCAGACTTTTCTGAAGTGGCCATCAACGGAGAGATCTCAAGCAGTGCTTGTGAGAAAGCACTTGGTTTGCAAAAGAAGAGTGATCCAAAATACCAGTAAAGAGGTGCAAGAAACTCATAAATGTACAGGAAGTGCTTGATTTCAGTTATTCTTCCAAAGGATGTGCTACCAAATATTGAGTTAAAAATGGCAATAATTTTATCAGTACTAAGTTCTGAGTGGAAAAAGAAAGTATTTTAATATTATTAGTCAAATAAATGACTGTGGAAAGCTTCTTCTGACAAATTCAGCTGTTTTTGGAAAGAATAAAATCATTTTATAGCAATATTTATTTATATTTGGAAGAAAAACTGAAAAGGTGGCAATATATCTGATTATGACCTTATGTGATCATTGTTTCATTTTGTTTTCTTTTGTCACCCCACAAAAAATTACTAGAATCTAACCTGTTGGTGCAGTTTTTGATGTTTAATATTAGACTGTTTTTTGGACAACTACGGAATGATGTTTAAGAGAATTATATAACAAATTCCATGTTCTTATAGTCATTATTATTCATAAAAGTGTTAGATGAACTTAGTTATGTTTCCTCACACAGTTAACACGGTAAAACATTCAATGGTTATATCCTGATGGGATTTCAAACAAAAGAAAATCAAACTTTCATAATATTGTAGTGGAGGGGGTTCTCAGAATGAGTGGTTAGAGGGTCACAGTCCCTCAGCTTATTGGCTCAACTCACAGAAATGGCATGCAGCCAAAGGGGAAAACATAGCACAGCCCTCTCTTAGGCTAGCTCAAGCTCTACTGTTTTTCCAAAAAAAAAAATAAACTACTACATCTGTTTTCAGCCTCCCAAAGTCCTTTAAAACAGAAGTATCCTGAAATCTGAACCACCCAGTGAACTACATAACCTAAAAATACAAAGTACTTACAAAGTGGTATAACTAAATCCCAATACTTACACAATAGATAATACAACCCCATTTCCAAAAAAGTTGGGACGCTGTGCAAAATGTAAATAACAAAATGCAATGATGTGCAAATCATTTAAACCATATATTTCATTGAAAATAGTACAAAGACAACAAATCAAATGTTGAAACAGAGAAATTTTATTGTTTTTTGAAAAATATATGCCCATTTTGAATTTGATGCCAACAACACATTCCAAAAAAGTTGGGCATGTTTACCACTGTATTTCATCACCTCTTATTTTAACATCACTCTGTAAGCGATTGGGACCTGAGGAGACCGACTGCCATAGTTCTGAAAGTGAAGTGTTTTCCTACTCTTGCATAACATTTCAGCTTCAGGATTTCAGCTGCTTAAATGTTTAGGGTCTCCTTTGTTGTATTTTTAATTTCTTTCTCTTTTAATATGGAGCAATGCTGTTGTAATGCATGCAGAATGTGGTTTGACATTGTCTTGCTGAAATAATCAAGGCCTTCCCTGAAGAAGACGTTGTCTGGATGGCAGCATATGTGGCCAAAACATGTATATATCATTCAGCATTAATGGTGCCTTCACAGATGTGCATGTCACCCATGCCATGTGCACTAATGCACCCCTATACCATCATGAATACTGGCTTTTGAACTGTGCACTGATAACAAGCTGAGTGGTTCATCATTCATCAAGACAAATGTTGATTCACTTCCCCTCAGTCCATTTTAAATGAGCTCAGGCCCAGAGAAGGTAGCAGCATTCCTGCACCCTGTTTATATATGCTTTCTTCTTTGCGTTTTAGAGTTTTAACCTGCATTTGTGGTTGCAGTGATGAACTGTGCTCACAGACAGTGGTTTTTCAGAAGTGTTTCTGAGCCCATGCAGTGATTCCCACTACAGAATCATGTCTGTTTTTAATGCAGTGCCGTCTGAGGGCCCGAAGATCATGGACAGCAAATACTTGTTTTTGACCTTGTCCCTTGCATACAGAGATTTCTCCAGATTCTCTGAATCTTTTAATGTTATTGTGTAGAGTAGATGATGAAAAGCAAAAGTTCTTTGCTATTTTATGTTGAGAAACCTTGTTCTTGAATTGTTGCACTATTTGATTGTGCAGTCTTTCACAGAGTGGTGAATCCCTCTTCATCTTTACTTCTGAAAGACTCAGCCTCTGGGTTGCTCTTTTAAACCCAATCATGTTGCTGACCTGTTGCCAATTAACCACCAGGTGTACCATTACACAACGTTACCAGCCTTTTGTTGCCCCTGTCCCAACTTTTTTGGAATGTGTTGTTGGCATCAAATTCAAAATGGGCATATATTAAAAAAAAAGTTTCTCAGTGTTAATATTTTAAATGTTTTTTGTACTATTTTGAATGAAATATAGGGTTTAAATGATTTGCACATCAATGCATTTTGTTTGTATTTACATTTTGCACAGTGTCCCAACATAATGTAGCGCTTTAGGCTTACTTTATTTGGGTGAATGAACTGGTGTTCTACAAAAATATAGCAGCACACAGAGGAACATGTTTTATTGCTCTAGGACAGCCAAGGGACTTCGATAGGTTTCGATATTGGATAAGTAACAGCAGCTGCTTCTTCACTTAAGCTACTGAGCTAACAAGTGTTACACTGGATGCTGATAAGGACTCCTTCTCTTCTACACAAGGTGTTTTCTCCCAGGTGGATGATGTGCCAGCATACTTACTAACTTTGTCAGAGAAATATATTTTCAGCTGTCCAGCGTTTGTAGCAGTGTCAGTAAACATGTTTATGGTTAAACTTAAATATTCTTTTGAGCTAAATAAAATGGAATATAATGTAGTGTCTTGGGGAAGAACCAGAGGGAAACCCTCCTAGGTCACAATTACTATGATCAACACAGTTGCACTAGTAACATCAACAACAACAGCAACCAGAGCAACAGTACCTTTTTAACTGGAAAGTGTGGTGCCTCCTGAGAGCCTCTCTGCATGGCCACTTTGCATGGCCATGTCTTCTGTGCTCCTACGCCAGCGCAGCCACTGGTGGGATGCCACAATATTGTTGTCTTTCCATTTGTAGTTAATGTTAATCTTGTAATTTTAGAGTGCTAGAACACTGTTTATTATATTGTATTGTGCTACATACAATTAGGAAAGCTGAAATAATGTGCGCCTTATGCTTCTGGTGCAGATCCATCAAACATTCGAAGGATGAAAAGTATGAAGTCCCCTCCCCATAGTAAGTTATACTGCATATATATTCTGTGGAATTGACACTACTCTGCATATTTTGTGTTAACGTTGTAGGTATTTTTTAACTAAATGAGTACTAATACGAATACTTTTTTGACTAAATTGAATACTATACATTACACCACTGATGATGCAGCTGTTAGATAGTTACTGTAAGTCTGTGTACTAAAATGTAAATAAATCTAAATCAAATTCAATTTGCTACACAAAAAGGCATAATTAATTAGTTTGATAAGGGCTGCCAGATCAGAAGCGTTGTACTTTTGCCCTCTCAGAAGTAGAGTTGTTAAAAATTACTGTATTTTGTTTGTTAAAAGGAAAATATATATTTGTAAGAATTACTACATGATGTTTTGCTTGTTTCATATTCTTTTTCTTGACCTGAGTTAGTTACGTACATTTTTTTCTTTGGAAGGATGCCATCAGGGGAAAAAAATGAACCTGTACAGCAATAATCATGAGACCGTAATTAATTTTTTTCCCATATTTTCTCATTTATTGTTCAGTGTCTGAACTGAGGATTGTTCTGCTGGGGGAGAACAGCTCAGAGATCAGCAGAGTGGGAAACTTCATCCTGAACAGAGATGCATTTGATACTGAAGCTCCTCCTCCTTCAGTAGAGCAGCACAGTGAGAGAGCCAGAGGAAATGTGGAGGGAAGATACATCACCCTCATCAACACTCCTCACCTGTTTGATCCTCAACTCTCTGTAGATCAGACCACAGCACGGTTTAAAGAGTGTTTGTATCTGTCTGCTCCTGGACCTCATGTGTTTTTACTGGTGCTGCAGTCTGGTGCACTAAAAAAGCAGGATCAGGAGAGAATGAGGAGCATACTGGACGGTCCTTGGTTTATGAACTACACTATCATTTTGTCTCTAGATGAGGGGATCAGCCATCAGGCTGCTGCTGAGGCTCAGAAAGAAAGCAATAAGCCTTTGTATTTGATCATCAGAAAATCTGAAGAACAACATAAAGTGCAGGTGCTGCAGCTTTTGGAGAACATAGAACAGGTGGTGACACTTAATGGAGGAGGATACCTGACCTACCACATTAATGAATTGCTTAAAGCAGAAGAAAAAACCTTAGCAAAGGAGAGCAAAAGGATTAAAATGCCAAAACTTCATTCACAAAGTGGTATGTAGACATGATACATCTAAGTACATTATTACATGGGTTCAGCTGTCCAGCATTTGTAGCAGTGTCAGTAAACGCATTTATGGTTAAACTTAAATATTCTTTTGAGCTAAATAAAATGGAATATATTGGAATATAATGTAGTGTCTTGGTGAAGAAGAACCAGAGGGAAACCCTCCTAGGTCACAATTACTATGATCAACACAGTTGCACTAGTAACATCCACAACAACAGCAACCAGAGCAACAGTACCTTTTTAACTGGAAAGTGTGGTGCCTCCTGAGAGCCTCTCTGCATGGCCACTTTGCATGGCCATGTCTTCTGTGCTCCTACGCCAGCTCAGCCAGACTCAGGCCAAATAGCTGTCCGTTCAGTAGCAGACACCGACCCCAGGGCATCCTAACAGGTAATAGCGGAGAGTGAGAACTGCCCATCTGATGGCAAAACACTCTCAATGGTGTCGTCTCCCTTGCAGAGAGCTTGCGACTAATGTACAGCACCGGGTGATTCTCCCCATCCACCACCTGGGACAAAACAAGGCTCAACCCAATTTGTCTGTTTACAAAATAAAAGGGAGATCAAAGTCAGGCAAGTGCAATAGCAGACCCCCACAAAGATCTGCTTTAACTTGAATAAAAGCCTGCTGACACTGCTCCATCCACTGGATCACATCTGGTGCCCCCTTTTTATTGAGATCGGTTAGCGGTCTGGTGACATCTGAATAATTAGGAAAAAACAATAAATAATGCAACAATAATGCAACAATAGTCAGCCAGCCCCTGGAACCGTCTCACCTCCTTTTTGGTCTTGGATCTCAGAGAGGCTGCAATCGCAGCAGTCTTATCATTTTGGGGATGCACCTGTCCATTACCCAAGTAAAAGCCTATGTAGCGTACCTCCACCTGTCCAATAGAACATTTCTTCAGGTTTGCTGTGAGCCCTGCCCTTCTCAAGGACTCAAGAACTGCACTCAGATGCTGAACATGCCGCTGCCCGTCATTACTATAAATAATGACGTCGTCCAAGTAAGCAGCGACATACATAGCATGGAGCCGTAGGATTCTATCCATGGACCACTGAATTGTGGCAGGAGCCCCAAACAACCCAAACGTAAGTGTGACAAATTGGTGTATTCCAAATGGTGTAGAAAATACAGTTTGTTTGCAGGACACTGGAGTCAAGGGGATCTGCCAGGATCCCTTAGTTAAATCCAGTGCCAAATAAAAGTGTGCAGTGCCCAACCAATCAAGCAATTCATCAGTATGTGACATGGGATAAGTATCGAATTTAGACATCATGTTGACTTTTCTGTAATCGACACAGAACCAAACAGTCCAAGCACTACATGCCTGCCCCAATCGCTGCTTGACTCCTCTATTACTCTAATATCAAGTATGGATGACCAAGTTCCACCTAAACTACTTTTTTCTTGTGTTCAGGTAATCTATAGTGAGGAATGTAAACAAATATAGGGGATGCCACAATATTGTATTTCCATTTGTAGTTTGCATTAATCTCGCAATTTCAGAGTGCTACCTGAAACAAGTATCTTTTCCTTATGGTACAGATTCGCCACACATTTGGAAGCGGAAGAGTATGAACTCACCTCTCCAATGTAAGTTACACTGCATCTATATTCTGTAGAATTGAGACTACACTGCATATTTTATGTTAAGGTGGTAGGATTTTCTTTACTAAATAATTGATTACTAAATCTAATACTATACATTATGCTGCTGCTGATGCAGCTGTTGGATAGTTACTGTAAGTCTGTGTCATAAAATGTAAAGTAAATCTAAATCAAATTGATGTGAAATGGATCTACTTTTTTTCATCACAGAATGCAGCAAAACAAAGAGCAGAAAAACAAAGAGCAAACCAAAAGTCAAGCACATCATTCCTCATGCCTGCTGGCATACAGTCTGTGACTCAATGTAGAAGGTGGCAGGGAAACTAGTGTTGGTGTTAACTGTCACTGACCCATAGTCTAGCTACATGCTGAATTAAGTTCATGTACTTTTTTTATTTGGTTCGATTGGATTTACATAGCGATGGCTAAAGTGCACCAAATTACACGAGTGTTTGTTTATTGGTCAGGTTTGCAGAGCTGCAATCACTCTGTTCCCCTTATGTTTACCACCATTTGAGCAAAAACTCCTACTTTGCATATAAATGAGACACTTATGTGTATAACAACTATGTGTAAAACAGCTCGTGCTGCACTGTATGAGCATCTAAAACAGGCAGATTATGTGCTGATGTGCTGCTAGGTGAAAAGTGAAGTAATGAGAATATATATATATATATATAGGGTGAGGAACGGGCTTATGAGTGAAACTGTGAAAGACCGTGACTGATCCAAGGTCTAGGATGTCACCTGCAGGCACCCAGCACTGTTCCTCAGGGCCATAACCTTCCCAGTCGACCAGGTACTGTAACTGACCTCCCCGTCTTCTGGAGTCCAGCAACCGACGTACAGCATAGACTGGGGTCCCGTCAACCTCCTCTGGAGGTGGGGGTGCATCAGCAGGTGAAGCCTCATCCGACGGACCTGGGACAACAGGTTTGAGCAGGGAAACATGAAATGAACAGGAATCATGATAACAAAGAGGCAAGTCAAGTTTAAACGTAACGTCATTAATTTTCTCAAGAATCTCGGACCAGTGTATTTTGGGTTTAACTTCTTCCTTCCCTCAGCAAACCTCAGGTCCCGAGTCGACAGCCAAACCCGGTCTCCAGGCCGGGAGGAGGGATTCTTACTATGGCAGCGATCCGCTTGCTGCTTGTTACATCAGAGCACTACCTCAATTCTCTGATGCGTCTCCTCCCAGACTCCGTCACTTCATCACATCCAATCCTAAAACACACGGGAATGGGGTGATACCAGTAACGGAACTGATTAGGGAGTTTTGTGCTATTTCAGCCCATACCAAGTACTGAGACCAGTCATTGGGGTTTTGATGGCAAAAGATCCTCAGAAACTTCCCTAATTTCTGATTTATTCCCTCACACTGTCCACTGGATTGCGGATGATAACCAGAAGTCAAGCTAACAGAGACCCCATCCTGCTCAAAGAAAGCCAACCAGATCTGTGATGTGAACTGAGGTCCCCTATCATAAAGGATGTCTTCAGGGAAACCAAAATACCTAAATACCTGGTGGACCAAAGTCTCAGCAGTTTGAAAAGCAGTAGGTACAGAAGCGAAGGGGACGAATCTAACACTACAGAACAAAAATCTGTCCACTATAGTAAGTACTGTAGCATATTCTTGTGATTCAGGAAGGTCAGTAACAAAATCTAGCATAATGTGGGACCAGGGTCTATTGGGCACAGGCAGAGGCATTAGTTTGCCAGCAGGTAATGTTCTTGGTGTTTTACATTGTGAGCAGATGCAACAAAAGTATGAATATCACTGTTCATAGTTTCCCACCAATAGCAATTGGTGATGAGCTGCTGGGTTCTGGTTTCACCTGGATGGCCAGTGGTAAGGGACGAATGAGCCCACGTAATAAGGCGATCTCTAAACTGGAGCAGTACATAAATCTTTCGTGAGGGACACTGGTCTCGTATAGTGCTGTTTTTCAGAGCTCTTTTTATTTCCTCACCTATTTCCCAATGAACTGAGGAGATTTTAATATGTGCGGACAGAATATTCTCAGGTTCCTGATCTCTCTCTACATCCTCCTGTTCCTGATAAATTCTGGACAAAGCATCGGCCTTAGTGTTGTGGGATCCTGGGCGAATAGAAATGCTGAATTTAAACCTTGAAAATAATACTGACCAGCATGCTTGATGGGGATTAAGTCGTTTCGCAGTACAGAGATATTCGAGGTTTTCATGGTCAGTCAAAACAGTGAAAAGATGATAAGCACCCTTTAACCAGTGTTTCCATACCTCTAGGGCTAATTTAACTGCTAGGAGTTCGCAATCTCCTGTACCATGTTACGTTCTGTGGGCATTAACTTGTGTGAAAAGAACGCACTTGGGTGTAATTTAGGGGGATCTCCAGATCCGCGCTCACTCAAACACATCTACTTCTACAATGAAGGGTTCGGAAGGATTGGGGTGCTTTAACACGGGGCAGATGTAAAAGCATTCTAGAGAGAGTTGAAAGCACTCTCAGCCTGTGGGGACCAACTCAACTTTTGGGAGGAACCCTTTAAGAGGGCTGTCAAGGGCACAGCAATGCTACTGAAATTACGAATGAAATGTCTGTAAAAATTTGCAAATCACAGGAAGTTCTTTCACAGAAGTGGGTCGAGGCCAATTAACCACAGCATCTACTTTGTGGTCATCCATAACAACACCATTTAAGCTAATAACATAACCTAAAAAGGACACAGATTACAAATGGAATTCACATTTTTCACCTTTAACATATAAATTATTATCAAGCAGTCCTTTGAGAACAGAACAGACCTGTTTTACGTGGGTCTCAAGATCAGAGGAGTAGACGAGAATATCGTCAATATATGCGATAACAAATTTGCCAATCATGTGCATCATTAATACATGCTTGAAAAACAGAGGGAGCATTTAACAGGCCAAACAGCATGGCCAAGTATTCATAGTGCCCCCTAGTGGTGACAAACGTGGTCTTCCAGTCATTACCCTCTCTGACTCTCACGAAATTATAAGCACTACGCAAATCCAACTTAGTGAAATACTGAGCTCCTCGTAATTGTTCCAATGCTGCTGGAATAAGAAGGAGTGTTTGCCTCTCAACTCTCTGTAGAGGAACAGACTCACAGAGTGAAATATTACATGTCTCTGTGTGTAACACCTGCTAGTACCTGTTGTTGTGCTTCCAGTATTTGGCCTTGATTAACAATGGCCTTCTGGAAAACCTCATAATCCGCCGTCTGCAGTGATGGCGAGGTATTCTGTACCGTGACAGATCCAGCCAGACGCTTGCAGTAAAAAAACAGAAATGAGGCTTTACTTGTAAAGGGGTTGACAAGAATCATAGTCAGTGAGCAGGCATAGGTCAAATGCAATAGAGCCAAAAGACAAAAAAGGACAAACATAACAAAGGCAACCAGATTCAAAAAGGGCAAAGGCAAAAAGCCAGTCAGAAAAACCAGAAACAGGGTCTAACACAATAAATGGCAAACAATAGCAAACAGGAAATGCTCAGTAGCTCTACTGGGAGAATCAATACCTCACGAAGAAACTAATCTAAAGCCTGGGCTTTTAAACTTAACTAAAATAGTTACATGACAAACAGAGCAGGTGAAACATATCAGTATTCAGGTGATTTAGAACGGAGATTGGTGGATTGCAGAGGTTCTACAGTTATGTGAGTCCCTGGGTGAGTCAGAACTGGAGGGATATGTGACAAAAACATGGTGCATTCAGCAAGAAAGGCAGATTCATGCATATTTTATACAGTTATTAAATTATGGTAGTACATAGAAAGCTCTCCTGACATCACTCCTCTGGCCGGGAGGGAAGGGTCATCAGAAGGAAACTTTATTATTTATTTCTTTATTTATTTTTAAACAAGTTCTGTGGTCTGATTAAACAAAATTTTATCTCTTTGGTTACAATCACTAACGTTATGCCTGGAGAGCATTGTTCTGTTGGGGACGCACAGTTCAGAGATCAGCAGAGTGGGAAACTTCATCCTGGACAGAGACGCGTTTGATACTGAAGCTCCTCCTCCTTCAGTAGAGCAGCTCAGTGAGAGAGCCAGAGGAAATGTGGAGGGAAGATACATCACCCTCATCAACACTCCTCACCTGTTTGACTCTCAACTCAATGCCTGGAAAAAAAGGATTTCAAGCAGTTCACTAAAATAACACATTGCCAACAGTTAAGGATTTGGGTGGATATATTATGCTTTAGGGTTTTGTGGCAGCCTGTGTTACAGGAAACATTGTGAGGATAGAGAAGAGAAGAAAGGGAAGAAAGGACTCTATAATTTATCAAGAAATCCTGGAGGATATTTCAAGAAACAAAAGACTAAGTTTTTTAAATGCCTTTTCGTTCTCACATTTATATTACTATATTAATCTGTACATGTAATATTATAATATTATAATAATCTGTGGTTAGATCTAAAACATGCTTTACATGAAAGACGACCTACGGATATTATTGAACTACAAGTGTTCTGCAAGAAAAAGTGTGAAAAATGTCTAAATCAAGAATAGAAAGACTGCTAGATGACCACAAGAAACATTAGGAGACTTTGATTTAAGCCAATGATTTAAGCCTTACTAAGGGTACTGAAAGGGTATCCGAACAAATGCACACACCATATTTTATATTTTCTTTTTCAGCAAATAATAATTGTCCACTAACATTTTCAGAAATATTTAGGTTTGGTACATGCAGAGGTGGTAGTAACTTTCTTTCACTTAGAAAATGAACAAATGGTATATTACAAATGTTTGTAATGCAGTTAAACTCTGACAATGCAGGTTTAATACCTTGTTAAAATTCTTGGGGTGGGTGCATTATAGATGTTCATTGTTATTGTTTTCTCTTTCAGTGGTTGAGGGGCTGAACTTGGTGTTGTGTGGGAGTGATGGAGCAGTGAAGTCCTCCATATCAGATCTCATAATGGGTCAGCGAGAGCTCAGTCCAGAGTCCAGCTCAGTGTGTGTGAGGAGGGAAGGAGAAGTGTGTGGACGTCTGGTCACTCTAGTAGAGATGCCAGCTCTCTACAACATTCAGCTCTCAAAGGAGGAAGTGATGCAAGAGACTCTCCGCTGTGTCTCTCTCTGTGATCCTGGAGTTCATGTTTTTCTCCTCATCATTCCTGAGGGTTGCCTCACTGATAAAGACAAAGGAGAAATGGAGAAGATCCAGAGCATCTTTGGACCCAGATTCACTGACCACACTGTAGTCCTGATCACTCAGCACTCTCAGAATACACAGTTAGACGAGGCTGTTAAGACTGTGATAGAGGACTTTGGAAAACGACATCTGTTCTTCAACTACAGCTCACAAGTGCCAGAGCTGATTGAACATATTGAGGAGCTTCTTACAGAGAACAGATGTAGCCAGTACACCACACAAATGTACCTGAGTGCACAGATTGAAATCCAACAGAAACATGAGAGAGAAGTTGCTCAACTGAAACAAAAAATGTCTGAACTCACAGGCAAATGTAAGAAACAAATACAAGCTGTCTGTTTTCTTCCGTAACAAGTAACAAGTACCTTTTCGGTTATCAGAACTTAACAAATTCATTAAATGTGGATTGTAGTCAAATTCTGAAAATGTTGTCATCCAGGCCACTGTAAAATTAGCTTACAAAATGTAGTAAATTTTTGTTTAGTAATAAATCATTTCTTTAATCTGCACAGATTTACCAAAAACTCTGAGGATCATCCTACTGGGGAAGACAGGAGGTGGGAAGAGCACAACAGGAAACACCATTTTAGGCCAAGAAAATCTGTTTAAGGAAGATATTTTTGGAGAATCAGTTACAACAGTGTGCCAGAAAGAAACAGCTGAAATCAATGAGAGACAGATTACTGTAATTGACACTCCAGGACTGTTTGATACATCCATTTCTGATGTACACACTAGAAATGAAATCACTAAGTCCATCACCATGGCAGCACCAGGTCCACATGCGTTCCTGCTGGTAGTGCCGATTGGACGACAGAACCGAGACGTGAATGAGATACTGAAGATGATCCAAAATATCTTTGGTGAAGAGTCTAGAAGATACACCATTGTGCTGTTCTCCAGAGGAGATGATCTTAGAAAGAACACCATTGAACATTTCATTGAAAATTCTGGACAAAACATAAAAGACCTCATCAGAAGTTGTGGAAACAGATATCATGTGGTCAATAACAGAAATCCTGAAGCCCGCACTCAGGTCACTGATCTACTGGAAAAGATTGACTCCATGGTGGCAGTGAATGGAGGGAGCTTTTATACTAATGAGATATTCCAGCAGGTAGAGAAAGATCTACAAGAAGATCAGAAGAGGATACTGAAGGAGAGAGAGGAGGAGATAGAGAGAGAGAGAAAGAAAGGTTGAAAGCTAAAGAGAATAAAGATACACAGATAATGATGGAGAATGTAGAAAAACAGAAGCTGCAACAAAAGTTATGGTACCAAAGGCGAATTTTAAAGCAAAATGTGCAGCACGAGCATGATGAAGTTCTCAAAGAGGGAGCTAGTTCTCCAGGAGGAACAGTGAAGATTACACATCAGGTAATTATTCTGAATTCTATTAAAGGTTTGGGTGATTTTTCAATTATTTTGTTTCATTATAGACAATGTTTGAGTATGTGTGGATAAAGAATGGTTAAAATCCAAAAACAGTGAAATTCAAACACATTTTACTTTTCAACAAACATAAATAGTAATACATATTTTTAATGTGACATAATAACAGAGTTTAGAGCAGGAATTAGAAACCATTTTCAAGGAATGTATTCAAAAACAGGAACATGCCAGTAACAGTTTATCTATTTTACAGCATAGTTAACTTATCATAAAAGTTTCTCGCAACTGAAAGATTTCATTTCAGTTTGTTGTGAGCAGAAATGTTATTTTCTGTTCCTGTTGCAGCGTTCTGACTTGCGGTGAGAAAAATAATTGATTCTTAGATGCATATCGATCCTCTATTAAAAGATTCTGCATCAATTCTCAAAATGCTGTGTGATTACAGAACACCTCTGCTGTAACAGAGGAACACTTAGGAACACTCTCATTTGTATGTTTATTATTAATGTACAATTAGCATGCAAGTCACTTTAATGTGTGTCATTTAAAGACAAAAAGAGACATTAATGTACATCATCACTGTCCAATGAAAACCAAATATCTCCATATTTTTTCAATTTTCTACATCTGTTTTGAACACAGCAGTCCACCTTTACATTGTGTGATTTTTTTTTAATCGTGATATGTTTGTAGTCACAACTTTCAAAATGATAAGTAGTGTTTGTCATGTTTTGTGTTTCATATGTTATTCAGTAATACATTATTCTCATTGAAGATTTTCATGAAATCAATATTTATCTCTATACTGCATATATATAAAGCATATATCTCTATAGCCTACATTATGACATAAAAAGTCATGACCTGTAGGCCCATAAACAGACATCTTGGGCAGCAGGGTCTTAAGGCAAAAAATACTGGCTTTGCTGCCCACATGCAAATTTTGAACCCCAATCTACAGCCTATTTTGTATTCTCAGACTAAATTTTAAAAAATCACACAAATATTTTAACATACAAGTTAAAAATACACATGTTAGTAATTCAGTATACATACTTCAATTAATACAAAACATTAATTAAATATAGACATAAATGACTTTTATATTTAAAGCATGTTTTTAACCCCAGCAATTTATTTAATGCTTGGGATATTTATGTTCTTTCAATGATAGCATTTTAAGAATGTCTTTAAAATGGGTCAACTGAATTAATATCAATTTGTTTTCATTTACTTAACACCTAAAAAAGCCAGATGCTGGGAAATCAGTACTCCACCAGAGGGGGTGCTCAAGAGCTCCTATAGAACCTAAGCTGACCCATGAGCTCTATTCTTAAAAAGATCTTGAGGAATGGCCATATGATAATAGTTTAGTATATAATAGTAATAAAATAGTGATTTTGTTTTTGATCAAATGCTATGACAAATATTGTCCTTATTTTTTACAGCTACTTTTACCCTTTCAAAAATGTTTTGCCCAAATTGAAGAATCACTTTCAATGTTAGTTTTAACATCAGAAATCAGCCTAAATATATGGCAGTAGTACATTTATCCAGTCTATTAAAGTATGAATTATTGAAAACTATTTTTGGATAAACAAATTTTAAACTGTGATAAATAATGAAACACTGACCCAACACTCTGTTTCTGTTGTTGTTCTGCATGTCTGAGAACCATGCTGTGTGACTTTTGGCCAAATTTCTGATGTGGGTATTTAATACTCAATGACACACTACTGTAGTTCAACTACATTAGTGCCATGCAGAGATACAGACCTTCCTTTATAACATTTACCCTTGTGTGGTGTTGATGTATTTGTTACTGAGTGGTCTGGTGGATCCACTGCATTATTGTTTTTTTTTTTTACAATACAGCCATAACAATTTATGTAAAAATACCAGATGTTTAAAATATAATAAGTGTCCAGCGTAATGTTCTCCTTTAGCAGTCAGTCAGGAGCCTGTCCATGTTGTCCACCCACACACACACACACACACACATATACAAACACACACACACACAGGGACACAGCACCTCTACAATTTAACTCCCCGCAAGTTCACGCCAACACCACATGTGTAATATAAATGTGTAGGGGGCTTTACAGTGTGAAGTCACAGAAAATGTGTTATTTTATATTTTCCATTATAGCATCCTATGTTATTTTTGCCTGATTACAGGAGAGCACTACAGTCATTGTGGGTAATTGTTTTTATTGCTTATATTACTATATAACTGCGCACATTTACATATAGATCAACAGGAAATTATTAAACATTCAGTATATCATTCTATCATCATCATTAACTGCTCAGTCCACATAGGGTCACGGTTCATTCTATACTATTAACATTTTCATTTACTATAATGTATCAAAGTTGTTTAAATGTTAAGCATAAACCAAACACTTGAGAGCCCCAACTGAAGAATATTTGAAGAATTTAGCAAATGAATGTGAACGACACAAAGCAAAAAAAAAAAACTCCACAAAAAGTCCCCTAACAGAACATTCTTGCACTTCACTGCACTGTAAAAATGTCCTTATTTTTGTTGTTTGATTCCTTTTTTGGAATAAGAAAGGATTGGATAACTTTATCTACATTACCTGTTTATCTACTACCCTGTTTACACCTGGTCACTTCATGCGCCTTGAGCATCAAGATTATATCTGGATAAGGCCAAACCACATAACAATGCAAGTGTAAATGCCTCCAAGACCCATTTAAAACTGATACAAATAAGATCACTCAAGCCACTTCAGGAGATGGTCTGGGACCCCTCCTAGTACAACAAAACTCCTCCCCAAGCAGGACATCACAGGCTATTTGATCCCTGTCTGTGACGAAGATAATTTTGGAGGACACACATGGTTCCCTTAAGTTTAAAGAAATGCACGAATTTCAAGGTAGCAACCATCTTTAGCATAGCACAGGAAGAGGCGGAGCAGATAAACAATTGGTAATTGGTTGCTGCGTAAAAAGCAGATTAGCATATTCCATCCCACACAGCAAACTGGATTTCAGTCCGACTAACTGGAGATGTATTTGAGTGGAAATGCATGTGGCTAAAATCTTATTAAGGTGCAATCCAGACACAAGTCACCTGAAGTAACTAGGTGTCAAAGGGGTCTACGTCAGGGTTAACTCTTAAAAGGCCAGGGCCAGTGGGCCCAAAGTTTTATTACACAATTCTATAACTTAAGAATAGCTTCACCAGTTTGCATTGTAGTCCTTGTAGTTACTGAATAATAAGACTTAGTATGTAATACGCCTGGAATTTTAAAAGGTTAAACTACTAGTCAGTTGTGGTTGTTGTGGTGAATCACATGGTAGCCAAATCCGACTGTTTTCATGACTTACAGTTGTTGTTACTTAAAATGAGAGAACAACAAAATAAGAGTTTGCACTGCAGAACTGTATATAAATTAGAAAACTTGGAGGATTTACATTACTTGGCTCCAGCTGCCAGAGAGGCTGCACTGCACCCCCTGTTGGCCTGAACATAAATTGCTTTATCATGTTAAAATGTCCAATGGAAAAGAATAAAATGTGAAGCATGTAAAGTGTTTTTGTTGTTGTTGTTGTTGTTTCCGGTTTAATCTGGTAGAACGGTGTGATTATGGGGGAGATAAATTTGTTTGTTTTTCCCATAAATTCCCATCTTCATACACTTACCAGCACAGTCCTGCTGTTTTCACTCTGCTCCCATTTAGGTCATTCCTAAATAATGTAAATGTGTAATTTCTGTTTATTTAACCTTCATTGTTGTTTAATAACTGGTTAAAAGCACATTTAAAATAGTTTTAAACAAAATATTAATAGTATATTTTCTTGTTCATACTAAAGGGTCAGTACAAGAGTCTGCATAAGCATTAAAAAATAACTAACCTCAGGCTTCACCTTTACAAATGTTCTTATCTATTATAGGTGTATCTTTTGTACGATCTGTCATCTCACACATTTAAATAACTGTTAGTGTTATGGTGGTGAGGGCAGAGTAATCAATATATATTAGACACACCTGTAGCTGATTTAGGTCAACTAGTCTACCCTCATAAAAAAATTTAAATACTTATGTTATTTAGAAGCACTAATTTGTACTAAATCACTGGACAGAAGACTCAAATAGATCGAACAAATTATCCTCCAGCTTGACTTTAGATTTAAGTAATTATTGAGCCTTTATTATGAAACTGCAACTTACAAACAACATACAAAATGTTTTTATTTAAAATATTTAGATTCAAATTACCAACAACTCTTGTAGCTTATATAATTGAAGCAGCCTGGTCAGGTATGACTGAACAGCCCCCTGTGACGATGCAGAGCCTCCGACTTATAGACAATGATTAGTGTCCAGAGTAATGTTGTATGGCAGGTCACAGACTTAATCGCAGATTAGAACTTCAATCAATGATTTGTTAATCCATGTTTAGAATTAAGTGGTGCAGCACAACTTGATTTAAAGCAGCATTATGTGAAGATTGATATTTTTTGCTACTGGGGTCTCCTTACAATTGCAGAGTGTAATTCACTTTTACACGACTGCCGTAAATACAAATTGTTCTTGGAGCCCCCCTTATGAACAGCTGTACATGTGCATTTCATGACATGTTGAAGGATACAGAACTGGCAAAGACAACATTAGAAGTGAAAAAACCTGTCGACTAACAAGAAAGAGTAATATTACAGGATTTTACACAAATATGACTGCACAGTTTTATTTATTGTGACATCAGAGACGAACACCAACATAACAAAACGAATAACAACACAACAAAAAAATGACAGAAAACTTTAGCTT